AAATAATAAATCCAAACAATCGATCAATCAATCAAGAAGACAGAATGCTACAATAAAAATTGTAATAATAAGAATCAAATAATAAATACATATAAAAATAATTATTTTAAATTAAAAATAATGTATGAAATAATTTCTATACAACTTTGCACAGTTAATCTGTCTAAAATGAAACAAAAATAAAAGCATTTCCATACACCTTCACTCAGAGTTAAGCTGTTTTTGCATGGAGTGAAACAGAGCGTCTCGCATCGATACGGATCAGGAAACGATTACGCTTGGCTCGTATCATGTTTTATCTCATATTTCTCATGCAGCGAGTCAAAGCCCTGCTACTGATGGAGCCACGAAAGCGAGATCCTACCGTCTGTCCTCGTCTGAGTCTCCATCCGTCTCCATCATCTCTCCTGATCTCAGTAAACTCCAAACACACACACAACACAAACTTCCTCCTCTGATCACACACACACACTCACACACACTCACACCAGCTGCGACAGGAAGTCAAACAGGAAGTCAGAGTCAGTTTTAGAGATTATTTGAACTCTGTTATTGTTCAGTGACTTCAGACTCATGTTTACATGCGCTTACTGAAGGAAACGAGCCAAAAACAAGATAACACTGAATCTGCCTCACATACCGTTATTAAAGTACTGTACCATGGTCACATGGTAATATATCATGATTCTGGCCAGCATGTTTCTATATGATTATCACAGAGATATATCTGAATTACACCATATACTGTAACTCGTGAATCATACACAGGTCTATATTCGTAATAAAAGAGATGTCATGATAGCAATAAACTACAAATCCAAATTGAATCATACTGCTCAATAAAATAAAATAAAATAATTCTGGTCAACTGACCTATGGATTATGATGAATAATGAAGATGTCTGAAATGTACATCTGATTTATAGAATTATGACATAATTCAATGAATTGTAAAATAAAATAAAATGACTCTGCTCAATTGGCCTACAGGTTATGATCAATAATGAAAATGTACATCTGATTTACAGATTTATGACAAAATTCAATGAATTGTAAAATTAAAATAAAATAATGATTCTGCTTAATTGGCCTATAGGTTATAATGAATCATAAAGATGTTTGCAATGTTCATCTAATTTATGGAATTATTACGCAATGCAATAAATTATAATAATTTTAAAACAAATAAAATGACAGATTTTGTCATTTTGAAGGGTATTTTTCTCTTCAAAAAAAATTTACTCTATGCATCTAAATTTGCGACATAAAATAAATGCACAGATCAGCGACAAAAAATTATAGTAATTTAACCTCCAAACAGTTCAGATGTATTAAATCTCACAAATGTTAATGTTCAGATGAAAAGTGAAGATTAATAAGAGCATAACTCTTGAGTTGCAGTGAGATTTAACTATGGGATTATGGTGTAAACTGCAGATATTGTAGCACAGTAAGTGTGTGTAACAGGTCTGTCTCTGCCTGTTGGGGGGCATCAGAATCTGTCAGACTCTGCCCTCTAGTGGTGGTGCTAAAATTACATGTAATGTGGTCAGACTTAGTAGAGCAATACACAGCTCCTTCTGTATTGACACAGAAATGTCTTTAAAAAAAAATATTTTTTTTTCTTTTGATACTCCTATGGATATAATATATAAATTGTCTTTACCTGCTGTAGAGACGTATGTGCAATAAAGATCTGCTTTATCAATGCATGAGTGAACTATCAGAAGGAATCAAACTGAATCACAAATCAAATCAAATCAAAAAATAAAATAAAAAATTACATGTAATGTGGTCAGACTTAGTAGAGCAATACACAGCTCCTTCTGTATTGACACAGAAATGTGTTTAAAAAATATATTTTTTTTTTTTCTTTTGATACTCCTATGGATATAAGATATAAATTGTCTTTACCTGCTGTAGAGACGTATGTGCAATAAAGATCTGCTTTATCAATGCATGAGTGAACTATCAGAAGGAATCAAACTGAATCACAAATCAAATCAAATCAAAAAATAAAATAAAACAAAATAAAATATTTAAAAATATAACATACAAAATACAATACAATCTAAAATAAATAAAATAAAAATATATAAAACATTAAATTAAATTAAATTAAAAAGTAAATAAATAGCCCATGGCTCAGTAAAAAGGGCCAAAACTGTTTTATACAGATATTTACCGTAAACTTGTTAACCAGCCAATTGTTAGCTGAAACTCACTATATAAGTGGTAGGAAATAAAAAAATGTAATTGCATTAATATGAAAACCACAGCATCTATGACAGATCTTCACTGAAGCTGTTCTCACTTTCTAGTTTGTTCATGTCATAATTCATGTCATAACACTGATGTTTTGTGCATGTGTGATGCTTGTTTACACCACGCTATCTGCTGGAGTGTGTTTGTGTTTATGCACATGCACAGGTAGTGTGATACACGTGTGTGTGTGTGTGTGTGTGTGTGTGTGTGTGTGTGTGTGTGTGTGTTAACCACACTCATCCTGTGTGTGTGAACCGCTCGCCTGGGAACAAAGCGAACTCATCTGTCTTCACAATCTCTCTCTTTCTGTGTCTGTTCGTCTCTGCTCTGCTCTCTGTGTTTCTGCTGAAGTGTGTTTGTGGTTTCAGAAAACATCTCCACTTCACATTTACTAGGATTTACACCCCTTCATTAAGTGCTTTACTCTGTCTGTGTGTGTGTGTGTGTGTGTGTGTGTGTGTCTTGAGGCTCCGTTTTGCCTTGATCCATTATTCATCTTTTCCCCTGGTTTAACTTGACCAGAGACGCTCTCAAACAATGATTTTCACACGCTCACAGGAAAGGACAAGATTTATAGATGCATTACAGCATCACCGTGTGTGTGTGTGTGTGTGTGCGTGTGTTTGACTGATTCAGTGTCACAGCGCAAAAGGACACTATTGATTATGTCCCTGTTCAAGCTGATCAATATCTACAAAATTGAAAGCATCAATAAACAAAGATGAGAATGATGCAATGAAGTGCAAATGGGTCAAAATAAAGATCAATCCTATATACAGTGCATTTATAACAATAGACAGAACAATGGATAGATAGAACAATAGAACAATAGATAGATAGATAGATAGATAGATAGAATTATTAAAAGAAGCTGACCATGAGTTATGAATGTTAAAGGGGACCTATTATACAAAATTTAGTTTGGACATAAATGTGTGATGGCAGTGTGTGTACACAACCACCCTATAATGACAAAATCCTCCCCCTCCTTTTTTTTTAATCCCCATAAATAATAAGCAGTGTCTCCCAATGGCCTGTTTTTAGCATTGGTGCTAATGTGACGTCACATTAGCCACAGGCCCCGCCCACGGATTTTTCACTGCAGTTTGAACATAGAACCGCCCTGAGCGAGTTCACAGCGAGTTGTACACCGTCCGCCATTGCTGCACTGACGAGAATGTCTCCCAAGCGTTTTAGGTGTTCTGTAGCTGGATGTTTTAATCCACATAGCGCTCTCCATTTACTCCCGAAATCTCAGCCGCTGAAGACGAGGTGGATTAATTTTGTTTTAGAAGAAAATGCTCCCTCAACTCTACAGAAATTAGTTTATGTCTGCGCGAATCATTTTACACCGGACTGCTTTGTGAATGAGGGTCAGTATAAAGCAGGTTTTGCACAAAAGTTGCTCCTGAAGGATGGAGCAGTGCCAACTGTTCGTGATCCAGCTAACGTTACGCCATCTAGAAGTAGTAAGTATCACATGTTTGTTTTCCATATTGCCTTCCTGAAAGAGCTTCTTGGCACTCTGTAAGGCTGATGTTGCTAAAGCTACCAATGTCTGTCTGTTTTCACTGATGCTGCCTTCACGTGCTACCAGAATGATCGTGAATAGGAATGTGGTAGTTAAAAATGGCATATGAAAGCAATGTGAAATCGACTGCTTGAATTTGTCAAGCTCATAATCATATGTGGGACTTATAAAGTTCGTGTTAGCACGCAATGGCACCATGAGACCAGTTATGTTGTTATTTTTATCGTGCCGTGCTCCCCGTCTGTGTAATTCAGAAATAATCTGGCAGGGTGCAGAATTCGGCATGACACCGGTTCGAACATATATGGCTGAACACCGCTACTAGCAGTTTCTGACATTTTCAGTGCGTGAGAGTGTTTTGTTATTGCTGGCATGATGCCGGTGCGCGAGCTCTAGAATCTCCACCCTCTTCTGAAAGGGGAGGCGGGAGCACCACCTCGTTTTCATTTAAAGGGACGATCACAAAAAAACAGCGCGTTTTGGCTCATACTCATATTGGCAATTTCAACAAGCTATAAAAAATTAACTGTAGGGTATTTTGAGCTAAAATTTCACATACACACTCCGGGGACATCAGAGACTTATTTTACATCTTGTAAAAAGGGGCATAATAGGTCACCTTTAAAGTTTCTTTTTACAAATCCAGTATCAAACCATGAACTAATATACCATTTTAATAAAACTGTATAATACCAGAACAGGATTTTTTCCAGTTTATTGAATCAGTTCACTGAAATGAACCATTCGAATGAACCGATAAGCTCAAATTAATCAGAGTTCTCAACACTACTTAAAGGGACAGTTCACCCAGAAATTACCATTCTGTCATCAATAACTCACCCTGAAGTTGTTACAAACCTGTAGGAGTTTCTTTCTTCTGCTGAACATAGATATTTTAAAGAATGTGGGTAACCGAACAATTTGGTATGGAAAAAAAAAACATGATGGAAGTCAATAGCTACCGTCAACTGTTTGGTTACCCACATTCTTCAAAATATCCTTTTGTGTTGAACAGAAGAAAGAAAATGAAACATACTTTGATATGTACCAAGATACTTAAAGGGTTAGTTCACCCAAAAATTAAAATTAGCCCATGTTTTACTCACCCTCAAGGCTACTGTTCGGACTTTCTTGCTTACTGCTCCGTGCTTTGCTCCCTATTTATGTACTTTTCTCATATTTTTCTAAGATTTTAACTTCAGCAGATCAGCACAGTGCTCAAACAACACATTTTTGGCACAAACACTAAACTGAAAACTTTTCGGGACTAGAATAATACTATGAAAAAGAAGACTCTTTGCCTCCCACTGCCAGCAGCTTACATTCAAACAGACGAGAAAGAAAATACCTCTTGTGGAATCTACTTGCTGCATGAACTGCCACGGACTTCTACAAAGGATTGCGGTTCTTGAAACAAAGTTACTTGCTGGACTTCCAAAACAGGCGTAACACACAGCAGACCGTCGTCACGGACCCCCTCAGCATACAGCCGGTGCGTCCCATGAATCTAGTGAATCTCAACAGTTTATACCAAGTGTAGAGGAATCTCAACAGTTAATACCAAGTGTAGAGGAACAAGCCGAAACTGACCAACACACTAATCGATGGCACAAACAGGGAGCGAGACCCAAAGGCGCTCGAGACATCAGATTGTCACGAGTATCTCGTATTGTTGCCGTAGCATCCAGATACCGCTATGACAAGGCTTGCAAACACTGGTATTCTACCACCCCCTGTACACCTTGAGAACAGATTTGAAGCATTAATGAATGTGGGTGAAGAATCCCCAAATGTGATTGAACATGGATCGTATCAGCCAGCAGCTAACATCGCTACTAACAGGCGCTCAAGGTCAAACAGACAGCGGCATTCAGCTCAGAGCGCAGCCGAGCCCAGGACTCTGTTAGTGGGCGACTCCATTATCAGAAACATCAGTAGCAGAAATCTTTACTTTCATGAGTGTTTGCAGGACTGTTAGGAGAGGTGGAGGTGTAGCTGCTCTATTTAAAGATGTCTATGAATGCAAGCAAGTGTCATTTGGTCAGTACTTGTCTTTTGAATATCTAGGGATTGTGTTGAAAGGTGCTCCACGCATTCTGTTTATCATTACTTACAGGCCTCCAAAATACTCTCCAGCCTTTGTTGAAGAGTTCACAGAACTGTTATCAATTATTTCCTCAGAGTTTGACTGTTTTGCTATTGCAGGGGATTTTAATATTCACATAGATAATGCAGAAATCAAAACTCAAAAAAGAAATTATAACTGTTTTAAACACTTTTGTCCTGATTCAGCATGTGCATGGACCCACACACAATCGTGGACACACTCTAGATGTAATCATCAATAGAGGTCTAAACATTTCATCCATTGTTATTAAGGATGTAGCACTATCTGATCACTTCTGTATTTTCTTTGAGAGACGGGAAAACTGGGTCGTGCTTTCTGGGATGGTAATCTAATGGTTCAGGTCATACTTAGAAGGGAGAGGTTATTATATGAGTATAGGAGAGCATAAGTCTAAGTGGACGTCCATGACATGAGTCCCACAACGCTCAATTCTTGCACCACTCTTGTTTAGCCTGTATATGCTCTGGGATCCACACTCGCTTAATCTTCTTAATCACTTTCAATTTATTTAAATTTTGCAACAGAGCAAACAACAATCAGTCAACTGTATGAAATAAGATGATGTACAGGTCTGGGGGCGGGGGCAAGTGCGTTTCCTGCTTTAAAATATTTTAATTGCATTATTTTTCATAACTAATTCATTACGTTAACATATTAACCCTTAAATGCATGAATGTTTTGCCAATCATTATTACATATTCTGGTCTTTAGCGACCCGGACAAATACAGTTTACAATAGTTTACAGTTTACAAATACAGTTTTAACTGCTGCAATAGCAAAAAACTCTCTTGATATTTTAAGAACAATTACAGAAGAATAGAATAAAGCATATTTCGTTACCTTTTGAAAAGAGTTCAATTTGAGCAGATGATTTTACCATCGCTGTCATCGTCAGAGCACACTTCCACAGTACATTCAGCATCTTGCTCATATTTGCGATCTTAACCATATTCACAAAACTATTGTTTTCAATAACTTCAAAATCAATATTTTAATTACAGGCAGCTTATTCACCACCATCAAATGACAGTGACATTTATATTTTATTGCGTACAGTAATTGCTTTACAGTAAAGCCATTCAAACCAGTTAAATTTTTGCTGATGATATTCTTTTGTTTTATGCCCGTGGTAATTATGTGTGAAACATCTAACCTCGAGGAATATAGAGGTATTGCACGTATTGAGTCATCAGATATGTAAATATAGTTGCGCAGGAAAAATATACTTGCACATTTACAGACCTCGGGTCTCTAGTGACGCTATACACTTTTTACAAAAAATTAATCAGAAAACAGGCATTCTTTCATATTTTATTATTTTTTTCTTGTTATATTGTTTATAATGAATAGATTGAGGAATACTAAGAAAGCTGATGTCTAACTTTAAAAAATGAGGGAGGGAGAGGGTAGTGAATGATGTCCCGGGTCGCTAAAGACCGGATGTATGCATTTAAGGGTTAAGAAAGAGAAAAGACGTTCTGGAACACATGTGGAAAACAGCAGAAATAGTGTCACATGATCTCAAATCATCTCTTACCCAGGAGGGACAGAGCCTCGGCTGGCCGTCACCGTGATCCTCTGTGTTCCCGGCCGGTTCAGATTGTTCTGTCCGTTAATAGTAAGCGCGTGTTTGGACGGCAGCGTCACGATTGCAGGAGCGCATGGGAAATTCACCCCGTTCATCTCCACCTTCCCGCCTCCTCCTCCTCCGCCTCCCACTGATATGTTGTTATGGTGTCCCCTGGCAACGGTCGTCGCGGGCGACCAGAGGGAGGAGCCAGCGAAGGTGTTGCTCTGCCTGACGACGCCGGTGGCTCCACCCCCGGTCCCGTACAGCTTCCGCCTCTGCTGCAGCGCCAGGATGGCGTTAGACGCGGCCCGCGTGCTGTGGACCAGCATGCACTGCTGACAGGTGCAAGGCGTTCCCGAGCTGGTGCCCACCGGCCAGGACTGGGATTTGGGGATGGATCCAGCGATGAGAGGGTACGCCAGGTCCATCCGTCGGCAGATGCGCCGCTTCCTCTGGCTCTGCCGGTTGGTTTGGGACATCCCGTCGAAGTCCACCACATAGCTGAAGCCCAGAGAGCTCAGGTCCAGCCAGGGGTGCTGCTTCTCGTAGGCGTTCTGGATGCTGACGCACAGCTCCATGTCGTACGGCGTCCAGGAGCCGCAGTCGTTCTCCCATTCCCACACGATGCCCTTGCCTGGAGCAGAGGACGGGTCGTAGAAATTGCGCTGCACGGGACGCATTGTGCCTGTTGCAAGAGAGAGAGAGAGAGAGAGAGAGAGGACTAATAAAGAAACAATACACAGCAAAAAAAAAATGTCTTTGTTCCTTTTCATTTCTGAAAAGTTGTGCATGGTGCAAAACTAAGTAATGTTCATTTACATTTTTATGCATTTGGTACATCATGCTTTTATCCAAACTGATTTACGTTGCATTAAAGTTAAAAGAAAAGTTGCATGGTGCAAAACTAAGTAACGTTCATTTACATTTTTATGCATTTGGTGCATCGTGCTTTTATCCACATAAGTGACTTACGTCGCATTAAAGGGGTCATATGATGCGATTTCAATTTTTCCTTTCTCTTTGGAGTGTTACAAGCTCTTGGTGCATAAAGAAGATCTGTAAAGTTGCTTTTTATTATTAATTAAAACAATATTTCCAAGAAAATGGATTCCATTTTAAGCATTTCAATTAGAGAGAAAAAAATCAGCATTGCGTAGTTCATTTTTCTTTATAATCCACTTATTCATTGAAATATTGTGATAAAAGAAAACCAACTAATTGCATTTACATCTTTACAAATGTGAGTTTATTATTATATCTAACAAATTAGGGTCAGAAAAATAAACTTGAAGGGAAACCAAGACTCTTTTTCTGACCCCACTGGCAGATATTTTTTTCTTGTTTTAAGCAAAAACTCACTTCATTTTGATAATTTTTTTCAGAAAAAAAAAACTTAATATCTTGAGTCATTTTGCTTTTCAAGTAAATGTGTATTGATTTAGGAATGTTCTGATATTTGATGCATAAGATGCAAGTAAGATGCATAACTTTAATGCAACATAAGTCACTTTGGATAAAAGTGTAATGCGCCAAATGCATAAAAACGTAACGTAACGTAACGATCTTGTTCGTAAACGATCTTGTTCATGCACCATGACACTGCAGATTTAAAGCGAGAATCACCCAAAGTTTGTGCAATTAAAAACTGAAATAATAGTTCCACTGAATCCTAAGATAATAGACAGTCGCTTTCTCAGATGAGCATTCGATGTGAAGCTCCAGACGGGATGTGACGGGAGGAAGATGGATGGAGGAAGAGGAAGAGGAGAGGTGAAGGAGAGCAGCACTGCTCTGTTTTACGGCTCATTAAAGAGCAATTACAGTCACACACATGAGCTCATCCACACACACACACACACACACACACACACGACTGACCTTGAGTTTCCACAGCCCAGCCCTGACTTCCCCAGCCGAGGCGGATCGTAGCTTTATTACTGACCCCAGTTCAGACCGCAAAGTGTCACATCCTTAAACTCAATCTGAAGCGTTTCGTTAAAACGGCCAATCTTTAACCAACAACCTTCCATATTCTCCCAGTTCCTCAAAGTATTGCTGCTGGTTAGGTTACAGGTGAAGTTTCGTATGCTTGTTCTCTACGGCATGAACATTTTCTACAAAAACAATGTGTTTATATGACTAAAGATCAATTACTGCTGCATTACAAGCTCTTAATGCAGTTTTCCATGTGAGATTACCGGAGCACATCTATAAAAGCATAATATATTCTGATCAAACTCTTCAAAACATTAACTCTGATTATTTACACAGTGACAAATGAACGGGATGGGAATAAAAGAGTTCAAATGAGTTGTGATAAATTGTGAATATATTATTATACTGATTTTCATAATTTTATTAAACAGTAGGGAAAGCATCACTGAATTTATCAAATTTATTGCTAACAATATACCTGGAGAGATGAGGAGAAATAGGAGTCTGTTACAAGCTGTTACCTAAAAATACTTTGATTACCAGTAAATTAAAACAATATTTCTTAGCATTTCAATTAAACAGAGAGAAAAAAAAAAGAATATTTCTCGAAAAATGTTTCTTTAAAATATGACAACAACAAAAAACCTGTGTACAATGATTTACAAATCCACCAGTTTATTGTGATGTGTGATCAGTTATTAACATCTTTAAAAGTGTGAGTTTATTATTTTATTGTATAAATTAATCCATACTTAGATTCTGTTTAAAGAATTTCAATTCAAGGAGAAAAAAAATCTGAATATTTCTTTTAAAAAAGTCTTTAAAAAAAATTAGATAAATTAACATCCTGTCAAATCAAAGTAGTAAAATCATTTAAAATCCATCCATTTTTTGTGATATTGTGATAAAAGACAACCAACTAATGTGATTAATCATTAACATCTTTAAAAAAAAAAGTGAGTTCATTATATATATTATATATTTTATAAATTGTCCCATTATTAGATCCCATTTGAAGCATTTCAAGAAAAAAATACTAGAATTTTTCATGAAAAATATTTTTCCAAAAATGTGCATCCTATCAAATCAAGGTAGTAAAACTATTTAAAATCCACCCATTCATTGTGATATTGTGATAACTAATGTTTAAATGTTAAAAAATGTGAGTTTATTATTGTATCTTATAAATGAACCCATAAATGAAGGGAGATGAAAATGTGCTGTGTAACACGAATTACAGTCGACAGTTCTGGAGATTTGGGTCTTTGCTCATTTCCTGGATCTGCATGATAATATCTGCCCTCAGGCCTGATGGAGATGACCAGCCAGTCTGACTTGCTCAGGCTCAGTGTGACGTACAGCAAGGACATGTGTGTGAAAACACGCTAAAACGTGTACATACACACCATATAACATACAAAAAGATGCAAAGAAGTGTAAATCTGACGAGGTTTTACACTATTAAGAATATATAGTGATACACACACACACATATACATGGGTCAAAGACCAAAAAGGGTTTAAGCATAAAAACAATAAGTGTAATACTGCTTTAAATTGTTGTTTTTCCCCCAATTTTTTTTTTTTTATTCTGTTTAATTTAATTGCAATTTTGTTTTTGTTTTTCTGAGCAAAAAATAAATATCATACATTTCCCCCTGATTTACAGAAGAGACCCACTAAAATGTCATTCAGTGTAACAATCTTGTCAGGCATATTTATTTAAAAAATCAATTTATGACATATTAAAAGACTAATTACTTTCACCCCAAATACTAATTAGTTGTAATTTTACATTTTTAAAATGTGTCTCTATCCTAGGTTTTGCCCATTGGTCAGTAAGATTTTTTTTTTACTCATTTAAAACACAATCAAATTTAATATGCTCCCTTACTCTTTTATATATTTTAATATGTACACGTCAGAATAAGCATGTTGTTTGAATGTTTACATAAATATTGTGATACACTGAATCACAATGTAACATTATTTCAACCAAATTTTGACATTTTATTCTCCAAAAACGTATTTGAAACCTTAAAAGTAGACACTTTACTTACATTCAATGTGCTTTCTATGGACATAAAATCACTTTTGTAAATTTCTTTTGATGCGGACATCTTAACGTCTTTGACTCATATATAAATAATACTACAACAGTATGTTCTGTTCTCAGACTTCCACTGAGATCAACACTTGAACACAGAGTTAAGGAAAACACACACACACACACACACACACACACAGTTTCTCCATGTCCTTCCTGTATGCGTTGGTCACATCCTGCCGGATCCTCCGATGATTTTCTCCTCATCTGTCCTCTTCTCTGAACCCAAACCTCACACTTTCCCTCACACTGGTTTCCGCTCTCTCTTCCTGTCAGTCTGTCTGGACCGCGGGGCGTTTTCTCTCAAAGCATCAGACTTTTGACAAACAACATGAAGTCTGGACCAGTTAGCAGCTTATTCTGATCATTTACACATTATATATTATATTATATTATATTATATATTAACACTATCTCTTATTTTAATTCACCACTTCAACAATTGAAAACCTGCATATATGTGACCCTGGAGCACAAAAGCAGTGTTAAGTCGCTGGGGTATATTTGTAGCAATAGCCAACAATACATTGTATGGGTCAAAATTATCCAGTTTTCTTTTATGCCAAAAATCATTAGGATATTAAGTAAAGATCATGTTCCATGAAGATATTTTGT